CACGTTAAATGCCGAGAAATTGTAAAGATTAGTCGATGGGATAATTGGGGAGGAGATCGAGAGATTGAAATTTGGTAAAAATTATTAGGAATAATGGAAATTTTAAAGGAGAGGAATCTGACAGATATCGTATTTTTCGGAATAGGAAACAAATGAAAAATTTGAAAATAATTAAATCTTTGGAAAATTTTAATTATAATTTCTAATTCGATTTACCATTTCGTTTCACAAGAATACTTTAAACCTTCATTAATATATCAAATTTACGATTATTATATACGATTTCCTGTTTCTTTGAAAATAAACTAAATTTCTTTAACTTTAATAAATACCAACAACGATCGCTACGCTACTGTTTTTAGCTGTCATAATATTTGAAGTATTAATCATTGTCAAAATTCAAAATTAAATATGTACAATTATATCATATCCATACTTCCTTTATAACAACAATAATCGCACTGTCGAAGAGGCATCGAAATACATATATATATATATATATAAGCTCGATTCGTTTTTTTAAAATTCCACGATAGCGGCAGTAAGAATGGCGAAACCGATCCTAGAATCGGCTAATGACACGCGTACGAGTTAATCATCGAGCACGGGGATAGCACGGGTGTATAATCACGTTGGATTGGCAACGAAACGGGAGCGTAACGCGAAAACAATTTATTTTTTACGATTCAATTTCACCGGTCGTTGGCAACCGATAGGTAAGACCGTTCCCTTCGCGGTCGAACGTGCCCCGTGTTCGCTTCTATAAATTGGGGATTAACGGCGAACGGCCGACGCTGATTGCGGAGAAACGCGTGTGCTCACGCACGATCGACGACCGTCTAATTTATGTGAGCACGGGGAGCGCGGCCGTTAACGCGAAACGAGCAAGGATTTTCGCGCTCCCATCACGATCCTTTTCCTCCTCTTCCTCTCCCCTCCCCATTATTTTCCGCGAGTCGAGCTTTTCTTGCTGTTCATCCGACGAGAGTCGAAGCTGAATTTGTCTTGTATCCGCACAGTTTTCCATGGAAAGAAAAATATGAAGGTGTATATATATGTATATACGAGTTGCTTGTCGGAGGGAGGGAAGCGTGTAAACAGGTTGTTCGCGTACGGTGTTTATACGAAGTTTATGCGCGTGAAAGAAATTTTAAGCAGCTTTATTTTTTAACCGCTAATTCATTTGCTCGTGCATATATCTTTGTAATATCGTCGTTGGAACAGGGACGTAATTCGAAATTTATTTTCATTCAGAGGAAGTTATTGTTATATAGAATTCTATCCAAACGAGTTTTCGTGAACTTTTTAAAATTTGGGTAATGTAATATTTGTTGCAAATTGTTCAAAATCGTTTGAGAAATCACGTGATATGTA